CATTCTGCAATTGAAGATTGACAAATGATAGGTCAGAGTAAATACGGTAATCTCATGGTAACTAGATATTCATAGATGGGAGCAAGAAATTATTTAATAGCCACTTTATTTACTGCATATGATCTTGTTGGGAACGAGTTTTCCTTTTTTTTTTTTTTTTTTTTTATTTATAAAGAGTTGTTGCGTCACATCAATTATCGATTACCTTTAACGCGATCCCTTCCTCAACTTCCTTTTCCTACGTCATTATTACATTTATTAGATACTCGCTTCGTTGTTACACTTGTTTTATTATTATTAAGCGTGTCTTTATATTATTATCGTTCCTTTATTCTCGCACCGTCCCTCTACAATTACCACCGCCATTACAATCAATGTTATCACGATTGTTATTTCCGTTATTGTCATTTATTATCTTCGTGCTTCCCCTTTAACGCGATAACCGAAGTTACGTAAAATTAATTCTCTTCTTCACATCAACACATTTTCCATTTTTCCATTCTTATTCCGCTCGAAGAAGTTTCAAGTTTCTCATTTTCGATCCAAGATCGATCGAAAGGACAACACGGTGGACAAATGCGAGTGAACGAAACGAGAGGGGGGAGGGGAGAGGGTTGTCAATCGTTGATGGAAACAAAGATGTGTCCAGCGCAAGCCGGATCGATGGAGCAATTAAAATCCGGATCTCAATCGTCCGATCGGTCAATCGGTGCGATATTCGATTATCGGGAATAATATCCGGAATGGTCCTTCCAGAATTTGCGAATTTCGCGCGAGGGTGGAGGCGACGATATATTCCACGTGAAAACTTAATTTCACGTTTCAATCGGCCGGAAATTCGCCGAATTACGGGGGGAGGAGGGGGAAGAGGGATTGAACGAATTAGTGAAATCACTCACAGGATTTTTCGGAACGACATAACAATTCGAACTTTTTAATAAATGTAATGTTGAACCTATGTTTTATCTAAGTAACGAAAAAAATTTTGTCGAAGAGTAAAATAAATTTTTACTCGTTAAAGTCTTCTTAGTAATCGTCTGATAGAGGAGGGGGGAAAAATTCGATTCTTCTTCGATATCCTCTATTTTTAATTCTGGAGATGATTGAGATTTAACGAGAATTAAGCATACGTATTTAGATTACGTATTATTTAAGAAGGGGAATCTTAGAAGAACGAAGATTGAAAGAGAAATTTTCTTGAAAATTGAACGATTACGCGCGTTATTATCTTGGCTATATAATAATTATATTTCTTGCCTTTATTTTTTTGTAAATCAATGTACAATTTGCTATTGTAAATTTATTATTTTTTTTTTTTATAATATACGTTTGAAAATGATCAGTTGACGATAGATTTTTAAAATTCTTATTAGTGAATAAATATAATTGCATAAATTGAATCTCGATAATTTTGTACAATTACTTTTAAAACAACGTCATACGTGTTTCTTTATTCCATCGTATATATGTTTTTTTGTACATTAAAAAAAGTAATTAGTATTATCTTGGAATAGAATTTTAAAATTCTTATTCTCTCGTGAATAAATAATAATTGCATAAATTACAAGAGAATTTCATTCGATGAATGGAAATCGAGGCATCGCATTCTTACATGAAATTCTCGGTGATTTACCGCTCGTATTTATTAAGACACGTGGCGTGGAGTATCGAGTAATACTAGCGAGAAATTACGCGTATATCGAGTTGTGCAACCGCAATGACAATTTATCGTTCCAATCAAGGAATCTGTCTCATATTATTCTTTTGATCGTTATATAAAGCACGATGAAAAGAATAATTAAAAAATACCAATGTTTAAAAACTCGAGATAAGTTTTATTCTTATGTAAAAAAAAAAAAAAAAAAAAAAAAATTCCCATTCACGAAATGATAATCTAAATCGTTTCAACTGTAATTTTAAAGAACGTTAGTTTTTCAATTAGCGAGTCGATCTTCGATATTTATCGTTATCAAATATGAGGAAAAAAGATAGATAAAGAAAAAGAAACAGAAAACAGTTATATTATTATGATAGATATCGATAGATGAATACTTATATTTTTTTTAACAAATAATAAAAAATTTTCGCAAAATATTAAATCTTTTAGGAAAAAAGAAAAAAAAAATTCTTTTATGCGAGTCTATCATTATTGAAACTTATAAAATAATAATTTAACAATTTGCAATCACAAATTTCTGAGTCGAATAATAAATAAACATATAATTAGCGATTTTATCATCATATCTCATATAATAAATATTTAAGGAATTTTTTTAATTTCAAATATTTAAAAGAGATATTTTGCGTCGAAAAACAAAGTTCACAAAAATAATAATTCAACGTGATTGCAGAGCAGAACAAAACAGACCCACTACTCGCCTCCACTTCCGCCTCCTATCATTCTCTCTCTCTCTCTCTCTCTCTCTCTCTCTCTCTCTCTCTCTCTCTCTCTCTCTCATCATCGTTACGTATTTGAATTGTAATCGACGAGGAAGATCGCGTCATCGTGCGGTGTTCCCCTTTTCGAGCACCACTAGATCATGTAAAAGGCGTTTAGATTAACGATGGTGCTTCACTCGCGTTGTCATTAAATGATTCTCCCTTCCATAGATGATCGATCGTTTCGTATCTTTCACGCGATTTATGGCTGATAAATGGCAAGTCTAGCGAGTGGAAAGACAGGTAATATCGAATTACAAATTTCAAATTATAAATTTATTTATTAGTAAATTATAATGTAAATATCTTATCGTTTTTTTCTTTTTCTAGATAAAAATATGCGAAGTTTTTATTCTTTAATGAAAAAATTTTTTTTAAAAATTAATACGAGTTGATTCGAGACACGTGTTGAGAAGAAAGAATATTAAAAGGAAATATTTGAATACAAAGGATGTGTTGAAAGATATAGGTATTTTAAATATATGAATATTTAAAAGTTTGAACAAATTTAAATATTTGAACGCTTAATTTGAATTTAAATATTTTTAAATTACGGAATACATGCATATTATATATATATTGAAAGACGGAAGTAAATAAAATATTCAGGTATTTGAACAAATCTCAATAATTGATCAGGTCACTCCTAGCAGCCAAGGAAACCATTTCCATTAGAATTCTCAAATGATCCGGTCAGACTCGAGTTTCCTCCAATTACGAACGAACTGTTCAAACAGGAAACTTACTAACCTGATGATACCAGCCACTCCAACAAACGAAATCCTTCTCTTCAAACCACATCCCATTCTTACAAATAATAATTCCCCAACAACTTCGAATTCCGCAATTATAATCGAATATAATAATCGAGAAATATCATATAAATCGTATTTCTTAATTCAATAATTCCAAATAATAAAACCATTCAATTACTACTTCTAACCTCAAAAATCATTTCAAACGATCGAATGTTAAACTCCATAAGAGGAGAATACCTCTTCGAAATTTCTCAAGGAATAATTGATTTATCATCGAAAAAAATATCTCGGCCCGATAGAGAGCCGTTCTTGACCGTGATAACGAGCGAGAAACGACCGAGAACTGTGAGAAATGGCTCGTGACACGAGCGGCTAGAAGGTCTCGGGAAGTCCCGAAAGCGGCGAGGCCGATTGGCCGACAAAGAACCCCGTTTCGCGCCACGCCACCCATTATTACAGCGCAGCTACGCTGTTGCTAGTGCCTGTCTCGATCGACCACTCGACAAACGAACAACCACTTGATTCCACGGTGCACCATTATTATCCCTTTTTTTTTTTTTTAAATCAATACAACGCGCGAATAAAAATTTTGTTGTAATAATAATATGAGACACGTGGTCGAACGAATAATTTTTAATTGGAAGAACAGTGATAGTTATTGTATTGATTTTTTTTCTAAGTGGAAACAGCGATTGTCCAAATTGTAGAGAAGATAGAGGGCGACTCAAGAAACACTATTGACAGTATTAGGCATTAATTTTTTTTGTGATATTGAATAAAAGGAGAAAAACGAAAAAGTGAAGAAATTGTTATTACTTTTTTTTTTTCTGAAAAAAAAAAAAAACAGTATTAAATAGTACGAGTATTATATGAATAAGAATGTGCAACGTGAAGATCATTTTTGACAAAAGATAAAAGATCAAGGTGAGTCTCGATGTCGATTCTGATTAAACCGCGAAAGAGAAACTTAAATAAATGTTTGCAAAAAATCTCGAAATTATCGAAATTATTTTTCTCAATTTTACGTATCGCGATAAGTAAACTTAAAAGGAGTCGTCATCACTGATCTAAATATTTTGTATTTTTTGTAGAAATTTCCGAAGAAATCCTGAAAATCTACTTTCTCCAAGAATCGAAACCCCTTTATCGCGATCGATCGAGATCTATCAAGAACATCTATCACGATCAAGAAAAAAGGAGAAATTACTTTCCCCAAGATTATTGTTCCATCGAAAATTTTTTTTTTTTCTACCAAGAATATAAACGCACCGTATCAAAAATACTTCTCCACCAATTCTTTCGAAACATCTTCGAAGATATCGAAGTATCTTCACCGCCGTTTCCAAAGAACTCACGACTTCTGATCTGAATCCGGTTAAAAAGAAAAGAAAAAAAAAAAAATCTCACCTCGTCGAATCGCAGGATCAAACTGTTAAACCTGACGAGCCTCCTGGTGAACATCGACGAGAACAACGAAGCCAGATTATTCATCTGGCCAATTTATCCGCGCGAAAAATCAATATTTTCGTAGGAAGGAAGGAAGGAAGCCGGCGAAAACGGTGAAACCACTCCGCGATTAACGAGACGTCTCTGCTCGACAAAGGAGTCGAACAACAACTCCTCGTCGAGAAATCGATCTCGACGAGTTGCATAAGACCGGAGTTCCTAGCCAGTTTCGTTTTACAGCAAACACCTCTACGATTACACGCACCTCTCGTAGATCATAGAGGAAAAAAAAAAAAAAGAAAAAAAAAAAGAAAGAAAGAAAGAAAGAAAGAAAGAAAAAGAAAAAGGATCGATCGAAAACAAGAGGATCGTTTGAAAAAGACGATGGGCGTGAAGGAAGGAACGACGAGAAGGATCGCTGGTGACGGTTTATCGGTCGATCTCCAATCGAACGAGCAGATCCTCGAGATCAAGGGTGACGGATGCGACATCACGATGTCGAAGAATCGTGGCAGCGTGAAAGTTATCGGGGATGGTTGCCGGTTGAGGATCGTTCAGAACATGGGTGACGTGGAGTACACGGGAGACGGTGGCCAGGTCCTTTTGGGACCGAAATCTAGCAGGGACAAGAAGGTGAAGTACGTCGGGGATGGCGGTAGGATAAGATTCGACGTGGAGTTGACGATGAGGAACCGGAAGTCTCGGAAGGAGGAGGGAGCCGGGAAGGAGACGGTGGACGAGGAAAAGAAGAAGAGTCGGGAAGAGACGGAAAACGATTTGAATGGGAGAAAAGAAACGAAACAAAGTGGCAAGGAGGAGAAGAAGAGGGAAAAATTGGCCAGGATCGTTACCACTTTCGAGTACGACGAGAAAATTGTGAAGAAGTGGTTCGTGAATCCTGGTAAGGTGACCAGGAATTTGGGAGGTTCTTTCGTGAGAATTGTGCCGAAAGAGAAAACGAAGATTTAGGTAGGAGATAATAAATAGAAAATAGAGATAGAAAATAATTAGAAATTTAGACGATAAGAAAAATAGCGTATATGTATATAATTATAATATTAGTCTCGTTTGAAATGGTGAAATATCGATTTTAAGATGGTTAGAAGATGATTGGAGAGAATGAAAAATTGAAAAAAATGGAAGGAACACTCGTAACTTGAGTCTGGCTTAAAGTTCCTACCTAATTAAAAACGAGGAAACAATTTCTTAGAATAATTTAATAGTGAATATTTGAGCATTGTGAGTCTTCGTCGTCGAGGAATAATTTTTTCTTTGTAGAAGAATCATTCTAATAATCGAGGATAATATCTGCTGTACAATCGCGTGATAAACATTATCGATACAATGATTGATAAAATTGTATTGTTTTTCGTTCTTGAGAAATTTTTCTAGGAAGGCAAAGATATATCTCTGATGATAAATGAAAACGTATACATATACTTTACATACATACATACTTAAATAATTCTTCGAGTTCCTAAATATGAATTTTGCTTGTTCATACTGTATTTAAAAATCATGTAATTTATTTAATTGCGAATAATTTACATTTATTAATCGCGATATTTTACTATTTATTTATTTATTTATTAAAAACATACGAATATCTAGCTAGAGAATCCATCGATATTCGTTACGATAAACGATGATAAGCGTATATGAAATATTTGTAAATGATTAGTCAATGCAATTATTCATCAGTATTTCTTCTCTATTTATTGTTATCACTGTCATAGAATAAGTGCATGAATATGTTCCTCGTGCTTGATAATGAATGTTGCAAAATATATTTATGCATTATTTCAAATAAATTGCGTAAACTTCTTAAAAAACAAACAAATATCAAAATGTTTAATCTTTATAAATTTTCTCTATTACCTTTGAAACTCTTCTTAAGTGCAAATTTACCCGTAAATTATGTATATTTATGCAAATATCCAAGTCGAAAGAAATTTCTATATATATTCTTCATCTTTTTAATTGAATAACGTTTAGAAAAATGTTGAAATTTGCATTTTAAATATTTACGACTTGCACGTAGATACTTATTTGTCCCAATATCGAGAAAAATATTTTACGATACTCTGAATATTTATCTAGGGCATAACGATGAAAATGTTCCTCGAGTCACTCAAGCAAACGATATTAAACAGATAAGAACAACGCTTCTCACGCGAGGTTTAATCGATTTTTTTACCACGCTTCTATTTCCATAAAATCATTACTAATTAAAATCGTTCTAAAATTTACTTTCTTTGTACTTTTAATACTTTTCAATTCAATATTTTTACTCTTAAAGATGGATAATTTAATTGTTAATTTATTAATTGTTAAATAATATTTATAAAAATAAAAAAAAATATCGAGAAGAGTTCGCAATGCGGAGGATCGCGTGAGAATTTCGTGACTTTCACCGTTCGATTTGCGCGCGAAAATAAAATTCGCGTGGGTGGGGAGAACGGATGATCGATAGGCACCGCGTGTTTGCGGTAAATCATCGCAGAGCATTCAATATCCGCGAGCTCATGGATTGGCACGGCTCGACCCGGTCATGCAATAACTGTCGAACATCTGCCCGAGGTTTCTCCATTCGAAATGGGCTCGTTACATTGTTGGCGAAATTACGATTTGCACGCGAATATTTTTCGCGATCGATTCTAGAATAAATTTGTATACGAATATATATCGATGATTTATTTTGGCTCGATAATGAGGTATAATATAGGTGATCGATTTTCAAAGGTAGCAATTCATTTATCGAATCGATAAATTTTGTAATTTTAACAACTGATGATTCACTGGCTTAATACATTAATCGTTATATAGATATAGATTTAGTGATTCGATAATTCTTAACCTAACCTAACCTAACCTAATTCGCTGACTTATCAATTTGATAGATTGTTAATGTAATTTATTTATTTAAGATTCTTGCACGAATCTTACTCTTAAAAGAATAAATAAATTGAAGAATAAATTTTACCATATATTTTTTTTCTTGCCCAACAATACGATGATACAGATTTTACCTTATGACGTATAAATAAAATTTAAAAAAGATTCGCTGTTACATATGCTATAGAATCCACTGCATCAACCTAACCTAATTCGCTGACTTATTAATTTGAGATTGTTAATTTATTTACTCAAGATTCTTGCACGCTATTATAATAAAGGAACAAATAAATTGAAGAATAAATTACACCATGCACTTTCTTTCTTGCTTAACAATACGACGATACAGATTTTACCTTACGATGTACAAATAGAATTTTAAAAAAATTCGCTGTATACGTATGCTATAAAATCCATTGTACCAAAGACATTCTATAGAACCTATAGTATCCAATTTACGAGTTTTACGTCCAATATGATTTTTCTTATCGGACACGTAGTACACGTTTAACTGAACCATGCTATTTCACCGATTGAAATCACAATGGGCTTCAAGTCTCGCGTTTCGTACAGGTTATGTAATATTCTAGGTCAAAAATGCTTGGTTATCGATTCGTTTCGATAACCGAAACTTGTACGAAAATTAAAATATGATCGATCAATACCAACCTGACGGTACTATAATAGTTAACGATAAAAACGAATAGAAAAAAATCACTATTCTCGATCAAAAAATAAACAGACAACATCTTTCGTCAGAAGTTAAAAATTTACGAATAATTAAACTTACAGATAAATGAATGTAGATAATAATTTTTATGACAAAAAAAAAGAAAAAAAAAGCACATTTACATCGACACGTTTCCGATACGATATCGCTTATCGATATATTATTAAAAGAATTCAAGTATATTATTGAAGGAGAATAAATAAATATTGCAAGAATTTCGATTGCAAAGTATAAAGATAGTTTCGGAGAATTTCTAAAACGTCTACGCTTCCTGTGATACGAAGACTCTTTATATGGTAACGCACACGTGAACGGATACGTTCGTTCCTTCATTAATTCCAGGAGGACCCCTGTCGAAATCAAGGGCCACGCCATTCAGCATTTTCACTTGCGCCTCTTTGACCTAGCTTTTCGACGCGCGCAAAGGTCAACCAGGGATCGTTAACCAAGTTTCTTAATCGTGAAACTTGGTTTTATTTTATTAAGATCACCAGTGAGATCTCCTCCCATCCTCCTCCCCTCAGAGAAAGAAAGGGAAAGGAAAAAAATAAAAGAGGAAATCGTGCTTTGTATTGTGTTGAAGTTGAAGAAAGATAACTTTCGACAGATATAGAATTATGTTGAATGTTAAATTTCGAAGGGAGAAAGATCAGGTATTTAAAATTTTGGAATATCCAAAAATTTGAATATTTGAAAAAACTTGGAAACTTAGAATTTCAGGCATTCAAGAATCGGATGGTTAAGAATTTAGATATTTAAAATTTTAAATATTCAAAATTCGAGTGCTAGAATTTTCAAGTATCTAATAATGCAGATATCAAAGAACTCCTATATTCATGAATTCAAATATTCATGAATTTAGATATTTAATTATTCATTTAAATAATTCATGTTCTAATTTTAACTTCTTTAAGGATAACCTGTTTTAATCTCTTATATTAAAAAAAAAAAGAAGAAGAAGAAGAAGAAGAAGATACGATAATTTACGTATTTAACGTTTATGCAACAACTACTTGATAATAGAACGGAAAAAGAGATAAAAAGAAGAAAAAGGAGAGGTAGCGAGGTAACGAAAAGAGCGTTTGAAGCAAAAAAAAAAAAAAAAAAAAAAAAAAAGGGTGGAAAGTCGATCGGCACGGATGCAATTAACAATATACAGTGAGATGAATAGGGCGTGTTGAACGCTCGCTAAAATTCTACCCTAACTCGGTGAAACGTACGCCCGTTAATGAGGACACGTGCACTTCTTCGAGCAGACAATGCTTACGCTATATACCGGGTGGTGATTCACGATGAACAGTATAAATATTGGCTATCCGCGATATACTTTATTCTAATGGAAATTCCATTAGCGTAACGAATCATATGATACAATTGAAATCACTGTTCGAACACTCTTTCTTACGTTCCATATAGGGGTCAAATGTGATTTCACGAGGAAGACGTTTCTCGAATCAATTTTTCCAACGAAATATATATAATAGAATTTTAATAACGAATAGCATCGTTAATATATATGGTACCAATCAAATGTAATAATGGATTTTAAAATGTGTTTCTAAAATAAAAAAAGTATAGCCATATTTAATAAATGATAGCTCTAATGCATGTAACATTGAGATATTAACGATAACAGCTCTTTATCAGATGATAACAAGTTACCTGCAATGCAGATGAAACGTATCCAAATAATATCGAACAAATAAATTACTTTGCCGAATTGTGAAACTTCATCCTATTAAAATGTCAAGGTTGATCTTCATTAAAGAAAAATCAAACAAATGTTTCTCTCAATTAATGAAATATACTCAATTTATCAAACTTACGTATCACCCTATACATAACGAGTCACTTACTACAACTTTATTACGTCTGGTCTTTCACACACACATGTACAAATTTTAAGAAGCGTGCCCTAATTAATTTATACCCAATTAAAACTCGAACAAAAAATCGGGAAAAATTCCTTTCGAAAAGGGGAGACGATTAAGATTGTTTCGTTTCTATCGGATCGCCCAGTAGATGAATATACGTCTCGCACGATCGTCGAGTTGTTCAGACCCCACGGTCGCAAGAGTATTGCAGTTTCACGTTTCGTATTTAGATCAGCGTTTAACCCAGAAGCGAACACGAGTTGGTGCACACCGAATAAGAAAAACAAGAAGAAGAAGAAGAAGAAGAAGAAGAAGGAGAAGAAGGAGAAGAAGAAGGAGAAGAAGGAGAAGGAGAAGAAGGAGAAAGAGAAAAAGGAGAAGAAAAAAAACGAACTGAAACGCGTTTCAGCTTGCAAACGGTTTGAATCAACCGACTGGAAGCGCGCGTTTTCCACGGACTTTTGCACCTTCTCGTTGACGCTCTCGCTTCAATGTGCCTCGTTGAACTCTCAAAGGAGCCTCTTTTTTTTTCCATCGTTTGCCTCGAGAATTAAGAAATGAAATAACAACAATTTTGCAACGTTAAAAATCCGATGGAGGATTAAATCTTTTCGATTCTTTTTTTCTCTGGTTATTATTACAAATATAGAAAAAAAAATAAATAAATAAAAGGAAAAGAATTAAAAAATATTTGTTATATTCGCCCAAACGTTTTAAATTGCCGATTATTCATAATTTTGACTTTTTGTTTTCATATATGTTTCAATTTCACTCGAGTGAAAAGATGTATATAATAATAAAGGATTTAAAGCTGTGATACGAGTTAAACGGATTGCATTATGTAGCATAAGAATGGCAGACAGAAAGATCGTGCAGGAAGCCTTTTATGCAATTTCGTGCCGCAACTCGCATGAAGACGAAACCAAATAAGGTAGTACAGTGCGTAACGCGAAAAAGACGATGGCTAACCCTGTTGCGTGATCCATTTTCGTTCCGTTTCAACCTTTATGATCGTCAATCATCCCGTTTAATGATCGTTCGCTCCCTTTGTTTCTTCGACAAGAAAAAAAAAATTATTTCTTGCGTGAAGCTTGCTTCACGTTCGAACGCTTGATCGATCGAAACGGTGAACTTCTTCCGTTATTTTATCAAAAGTTTAATTCTTAGAATCCTAAACTTTCTAAAAAAAAGATCACTTAAAGATCACTTAAAAACAGGATTATTAAGAACTCGACAAATTTTTCTAAAATTTGACGGAATAATATAAAATAATTTTCAATATTTAAATATAGATTAAAATAAAGATAAAAAAAATTTCAGAAAAAAAAATCATTACGAAATATTTTATTTAATTTTACTTGCGTGATCCAAATTATTCCATTTGGATTTCTAAATGGTTAAGAAAAAATTTTCTACACACACAACTATTTCTGTAGAAATATTAAATAAATTAGATATAAATAATTTAGATTTTTGCATTACGTAAAATTTGCATCGCTATGCGTGAAAGTGTTCCGTCATTTTAACGAGCAAGGTAAAATTATTTTATGATTCATACCACGAATGTTTCTATTTTCAATTACTTAAAAATAGTTTGAAAGTAGCGTAATTACCGGTTATTTGATTCGAAACGAAAGAAACAAAGAATTTCAGTTTGATGGATTATCTATAAAATTATCACACGTTAAGTCACGCGTTAAAAAATTATATCAATAAAGCACAAAGAATTCTCTTTTCCTTTTTTTTTTAAATTGCGCTTAGGTACTTACGAGTTTTAAGTAGATTGAAGTTGTACAATCATATTATTATCTCGCGAAAAAAAATTAATTATATAACTATTGTTAATAACTATTGAGCCCTCGAGAACATGTATTTCCTCCATGAGAATTTATTATATCGCGATACTGAATACAAACAATCATAAATCGTGGAAGATAACATTCCAACGGTTTTTCAATTCAGAACGTTCTCGTTCCCAGAAGATCGTTATAATTATATGTATATACATATATGTATACATATACCATGGATTTAACATTCGTGATAAATCGCTTCTGCTTATTCCAAATTAATTACATTGAAATTACATGAAGAATTAGAAAAAGCCAACGACCTTTGCTTAGGTTTTAGAATCACGATTAGTACTTGATGATCGTCTAAAAATATCGTGTGTTTTTAATATAATTTGGATCTTACCTTGAGCTGTAGATATCCGGCTAATGATAGCAACATCGATGCCGATTAAATAACAATAACAGAGAAGAAGAACTCGATATCAATTCGTTCGTTCGATGGTCGTCGTAAGTACTGACTTCTCTGCTTTCTTAAGTCACCCAGGTTGACTCGAGTCAGAATTGTATTTAGGTTTACATTTATGAGAGTTGAATCACCAGAGAGAGCGAGATATTGATATTTCACTCATAATATATTTAGAAATAAACTAGAGAGCGTGGTTGCGAAGATTTTACGAATTAATTCAGATTCTACTTGTTGTTGCTTGGATCGAATCCAACTTTTGTCCGTGTCGAATTCTACGCGAAGATATTTCCGATTGAATTACAGTGGAGAAAGATTGAAAAGTTTCGGTAAGAATTCCGAATGGTAAGATGAAGACTGTTGGAGGAATAGCAGAGAAAGAGGGAGACCCCTGCAAAGAATGATTTACGAGTCTCGCTAACAATAAAAGTTGAATCACTGGCTTTTACGGAGGGTCAAACACCTGGTTTGTGCAACTGGTTGACAATCTGTATTTTAGTGAAGAAATATAGAGGAATGTTTCTATTGTGCACTTCATTGGCATGTATTATTCATTTCGACATCTACAACGATAATAAAATGTATACTAATTTTAGAATCATAACATGTATTCAATAACAAAAGTTTACTGAACCTTTTAACAAATGACGTCAGAACAGACTGATGCCAAGGATTGATCAAGATTATTGAACATTACTTATGAATCATAACGAATATATTTATACATATTTTTCAATTCTATTACCTAACCTAATCTAACCTCTATTTCAATGCTACATTATAATATTAAAATTTTTCTAATTCTTTAACTTTTATTTTATGAATATCCATGAATCGATTCTCAAAAGAATAATCGAAATATCAAACTCCATTAATTTACGATTACACTATGCCATCACTTTCGCGCGCAAACATTTCGGGCGATAAACAACATCGATTCTCCTTCAAGGCGAAGAAAAACAAAATGACCAGTGAGTCAACTATCTTCACGATGATGGGAGATAGTTACATCACTCTGCCGACGAAAGTTCGGACTACGTCCAAGACGTGACCAAAAAAGGCAACCACGCGAATCAAACGATGTGTGTAATGAACGATCGAAACACAGTTGCAAGTCGTAGAACATCCAGAGGAATGCGACTCGATAATTCCAATTCTGATTGGTCAATAACAACCAAGCAGAAATTAAAAGTTAAAATAGACCATTATTTAACGAGATGATCGATAAGGGCGAAATTTCATCGTAAAAGTTGTCTTGGTTGAGCGGCTTTTAGCGAGTTTACATTAAGCTCGTGACCACTCGAAATAGTCTCGAGAAGCTTTTGGAAGTTCTCTTAATGGAACAACGGAACATATGGCGCGCGCTATTGTTATATATTGTATATTGCGACGGAACCATTATTGGTGCTATTTCGATTCAAGGAAATGTTTTTTTTAAAACAATAAAAAAAATTTTTTTTTCAAATTCTATGATTGAACTATAGGTTTTAGCTACTGGGTGTGTGGTAATTTGATTTGTATGCAATAGATTAGATAATAGTGATGGATGCATTAACGGTGTTAGATCATGAGTGGATAGTAGTAATTGGTTACGTGACCAGAAAAGACGATTCTTGTTACCAGAGATAAGTTAGAAGAATTTATTTTGTATGCTTGGTAAGTTTGCGAAAAAGAACTATAACGGAAGTATAATGCAAACTATCTGACGATGCAGTTTAGACTAGTTTGTATCTTAAATTTAAAATTGAAGAATAAAAAATTTGAGAATCAAGATTTCAAGCATGAATAAACAGAATGATTGAATGCGTTTTGAAAATTTGAAGAAAATAACTATGCAAAGACAGATTTTAATGCACGTTAGATATACATAATTTCAACGGTTAAATTTCAACGCAGCTGCGATGACGCTACGAAAGCGAATCGGTCCCTCGCGTTCTTTGCATTCCGGCTAGGTCGTGCATTGGCGTGCAAATATTATGGCGAGGTCGCAGATGGCCCTGCAGAAAACGAGCAAAATTCCGGCCGAGTCGACGCGTCAAAGGTGAACGTTTGGTGCCAGAAATAACTATCACGCTTCTTTTTGTAATCCCTGCATCGCGTATTAACTAAAAATTTGATAATTTAAATGAAAATTTACATACTCACTTGAAAATCTGGCATAAATACACAAATCACATATAAATTTAATTTGCTAATCAAAAAGCTTAAATATAAAATCGTTTCTATATTGATAATTTATCGTATATACACTAGAATAACACTAAATAAATAATAACTATATAAATATTCAAACAACCATCGAAACTAGTTTCTTTTATGTTTCTTTTATGTTAGTGGAATCCTAAATTCAGTTTATCATCGCGTCTTTGCTTCAAATCGAGTTACTTCTAGGTACCTGACCTACGACACTGAACATTATTAGCGATTTGACTTCCCTCGTATTAGAAGGGCTAACGATTGAAATCTGGATACGACAATTTTATTTCCTACAATCGATAACGTCGCAATCATGATGGATTTAATCGATTTTAGACAATGCACCGGCTGAGACACGTAATAAATGACGCCATATCTTGATCTATCTTTCTATTTCTTTCGTGAATGACTTATAGGCAATTTAATATTTTTCGCATTCAATATATATATGAATTGTATGATACTACATCGTATCTATTTCTCAATTTTATATAGAATTATTATTCTTAATCATACCATGTTTTGTGACGCATCATTTTGACTGTTTCGAATCACACATACTATTTCACTATATTTCATATCTTTTATATCTTTGCATATATTTTTCTCATGCAATAACTATACACAATTTACACACACTTTTTTTTCACATTACTTTTTTGATTTCACACTGCACACGTTTATTGTACGCGTCGCGTAGTCTAGGCCGTTAATGTCGATCGTGCGAATCGAAAGCAGTTGCAGACCCGCGTTAATATTTCTGTTCCACACGTTCGATGACTCAATGACAGCCACATGGTGGGGCGCCCCCCCAGGGAAACGATCTTTGTGGGGTTTGCACAGGGCGAGCGTGTGGAGGGCCACGTGTGTGTTACGAGCCAGATAAATCTACTCGCGTTAACCCTGCCCGTTTTCATCGTATTTACACATTATATACACCATGGGTCAATGTAACCCGCCTACAGTGTAATATTCTTGATAACAATATTAGGTTAGTATATATGAAATGCCATTTTCAAATAAAATTTACCACTATGTATAGTCCTTTCGAAACATTATGCATTTGATTAAAATAATTTCTAAATGAATTTATGCACTTTTTTTAAAGATTAACTATATATACAATATATAATAAACTAATAGCAATAGCTTTTGTATTCAACGATTCACTATTTGAACTTGCTTCCTATGGCGTTTCTCAATTGAATTTATACGCTAAAAATCCCTAGGATATATATATCGATTTTATTCGATATATCCTTATCCTTCGATGATGTCACCAACTTCAGTTATGCTAATCTCTATTCTCAATTTTCTTCAGTATCTGTAATCTACTTTCGTTCAGTCAAATAATAACATAAAATAAGTGTGACATAAAAATAGATGGTGTTAAATATTTAATATTATTTTTTGTTATACAAAAATAATTTTTCTAAAAAATATAGATATAGTGACAATTATTCTACAAAGTGAAATTCTAACGAATTAGTAAGGTTATTAAATTCCAATTTTTTTCAAATTAATTTTCATTTTTAAAATTTAATAAACTTTTAATAATTCTTTATCAACTTAATTCTTTTTAGTTTATGTATTATGAAAAATCTAATGAAATAAATAACGAGTTTATAAAATTGACCGAGAAGAAGAATTGTCTTGTTTCAATGATTCAAAGGGGAGAAATTAATTTCAAACTGATTTATATACTAGCCAACACGTAAATCTGGAAGCGTTAAAAACAGAAGGTTTCAAAGCAGTTGGTTAATAGTAGACAGGAATATACGGGATCGACTGGAACACATTTTCACTAACATTTTTCATGCAAAATATTTACCATTTGTTTGAAAAATTTGACACAAAATATTTGAAATATGAAATTACGTTAAAGAATATATGAACTTTTAAAATAAAAATTTTGTCTTTATTAATTTTTCTAATTTTTTTAAAGGAAAAATATTCTTTAATTAACTATCACATTAACGACAAAATTTATGATAAATCCTACTTTTTATCTAGTATAAAAATGTAGTGCACTTGTATCTTCAAAAAAAAAAAACATTCTTAATTAGAGCGCGTGAGTAAAGATTTTCTAAAGGGTCGAAGAATATTAATAACTGAATATAAATATAAAACATTATGTTTCCTAACGCTTCATCAATAAAATTTCAAGGTTTCAACGAAAATAAAATATCTCAAGAAGAGTTGATAAGTATGTAATTATACAAATTTAATTTGTATTCAAAAAGTAAGTAAATAAAATTTTTTTGCATATTTTATTCATTTTTTTGGAAAAAATACGCATAAATTATTTTTTTATTTAATTCTTTATTTGAGATATTATTAGAGAAAGCAATTCTAATTAATCCATGACAAAAATGCTGAATCCCCACATATTGCAGTTAAAAAAACTGAATTTTTGGCACGGTCTTCCAAACTCGTATCTCCCCTGGGTTATTTGCGGACTGCCTTTAAAACGTCGTTAAGAAACCCTGTCTGATCATGACCAACTTAAAGATACGTTTTTTCCAACTTTTTTATTAAATATCTCAAAGAATGAATGTGATACTTCTCAATAGATCTAATTTCGATTAGAAAAAAATTTCTCAGGAATTTCTTTCATATCTGATTTAATAATAAATAATAAATTGTACAAATTAATTCTGTATTATATTTAAAAAAAAAATTGTTCACAGATAATATCTAAAACAATTCTCCACGAATCTACACAAAATATCCAAGAACGCTAAGAAATAGTTCAGAAAACGGTAATTCAAAGAAATTAACAAATTGATTGACAAGAAAAGAATAATGAGAATAATCTTAAAAAGAATAATGTAATATATCATAATAATGTATAACCTATAACCTATAATATAATTTTCTCAAAAGTAATTTCTGCCATTAACAAATCGTGAGAATAATTTCACGGAAGGTCACAGTATCGATAAATCCCAAGAATAATTAGAATGAATGGAATAGTGCCGATAAATCGCGAGAATAATTCAACGAGAACGATTCAAAGCGGGTGTTCTGTGGTCAGGTCAGCCTGTGTAGAATGATTTGAACGGTAAATATATCCGCGAGCCGGACGTGCAGATGCCTAATCTGAGCCCATGCTCTCGGAAGGGAGGAGGCCGCTTCATCAAATGAAGAAACGCGACTCTGCATTCTGCAGAGGCCGTTTACCGGCACCAGTTTTTGGCCTCGAGCTTAGACAAATCTTACGACTAGTTTAACCGAGCCATTCGCTTCCTATTCTACAAAATAATGAATTTACCCAGTAAGTAAACGCTATTATCCCAAACACATTGAAAAATTTAACGTCCAATTTCAAAGAACCATATATAAAACCGAGTTAAAGAAACGAAAGACCAAATATTCTTCAGAAGACTTAAGAAGACCGAGAAATCGAGGAAAGTTGAATGAAAAGAAGTATCTAAAAAGCGTGGTGTTCGAACAATGACGGTGAAAAGTGGCTGTTTTTTCAACTTGCACGATGGACAATGAGGATATATCTCTTGCGATAGAAATAGTTATTAGACGAGGGCTGGCAAGTGATTCTGATTGTTAGATACCAAGATTCCCTTCTCTTCTCTCTCTCTCTCTATTCATGCATTATGCAAAGTATCTTCCGCTCTCCGTATTATCCACGGTTTATTCCCATCGTTGTTGATCGTGGTCGGAGAAAGCGTACGAAATCGCTTCGTTCGTAAAATAATCGTGGTATGTATATAGCTGGTAAGATTGGTGTCTAACGTTTTTCTACGTTAATAATAGCGCTACATTGTTAAACATGCAATTCTTGTATGCAAGTGCTATCTTGCCGAGTTTTTACAGTTAAACGAGATGCATTGAAATATGCCTCGTTAATCTAGATGGGATCCTACGGTTCTTTTTGAATAAAGAGCACAGTTGACCTTGAATTATGGGTGGAAATGCCAAGAGAACATATCGCTGGTGAATGATTGTATAAAGTTTATGACTCGTAAGATCGTTTTTTTCTGAATACAAAAATGGAAACGTAATGGAGGTAACAAAATTTTGTTGGAGATGCTCTAAGAATCTAAGGTATCTAAGATTTTTTCTTTTTACATAAAAATTTAAGTGTTGAAGATTCTAGGAAGAACTAATACAAAAAAGTATCTACAGTTCCATATCTACAGTTCCATAAACTCTTTATCAAGAATCCCTGCAGCTACAGCTAATGAGATGCTCCTCGAAAGAGACAGCTTGATCGAGGGTCACCGTGTCAACGCGATTCCTGACGCGTGCACGCACTCGAGAACACGGCCTACGCGTGCAATTCACAAACGCTCTTTTCGTCCCACGTTTTCTCGTCGTCTCTCCCAATAGCTGCACTTTCCATAAATTAATTATTTTAATAGGCTGTGTTCGAGGACGCGAGATATCCGATGTCTCCACACGTGCACAACAGAAATATAAATGGATTAGCTATAATACTTTTATGGTCGTTACTATAAATTATGTAAATCATGTATTATGTACTTATATAGTGGAAAAAATATATAGTGTAAAAAATATTTGCATTTTACTCGTTGTAGGATGATTTTTTGTTAAAAATGGATTGAGATTTTTAAATCAACCAATCTTCTAAGCTTTAACTCTTCTAAACTCAGAACTTTAAATGTATAATATTTTTTTTTTATGAAATTTTTAAAATTTTAGAATTCTTTGAATATGCATTTTGGATATTAAAAAAATGGTTTTTTCTATAAAAACAAATGAGTATAATTTATGGTGTATGATTTGATATGATTTGGTATGGTAAATTTGACAATCAGTATTTTATCATATATAACGATTCGTATATAAGTCTTGATTCATTCATTCCAGTCATTCAAATTGAAATTTTACAACCCTTCTAATATATAAAATGCAAAAACGAAGGTTAGACGATATATTTCTTATAGAAATATAATGACACAATAATACAAAGTTAATAAATAAAATAAATAAATAAATAAAATTCTCAATTTAATATTATTCAAAATATTTAAACTATAATTATATAAAATTCATATAATCCTGAGTTTCCATGAAAAAATTTCCACAAAATCGGAAGTTATTAAATATACAATGTTAAATTAAATTATTCGTGAAAAAAATTGCACATTTTAATCAGTAATTAGTGTCAACACGTGCCCGGAAAAGATTGTCATAAAAGGGTTTATCTGTTCATTGAAGAAAAAACATTCTCACGGAGACTAAAAACATGGAAACATATTTCCTTGGCAGACGTGCACCGTTGCCCCGTAAATTATTCTCATCCGGCGTAAACATTAAACAAATATCGTTTATACATGGCATGTCAAGGGAAAGGAAGAAAGAACGAAAGAAAAAAAAAAAGAAAAAAAATTCCACTTTTACCACTTTTACTATATCACAATTATTCAAGATTTCCCTTGTATCAATACACTATGATTAAATTCAATTTCGCGCTTTTTACTGGCGAAGCAACATTTATTTTTTTTATACAAATCAATAAGAATTTAATAAGAAAAAAGAATTAATAAGAATTTAATAAGAAGAAAAAAAAATCGTTTTTTCAACGCCAGAATGAAAAATAAAAAAAATTTTATTGAAAATAAGAGATATTAGATTATTTTGATAATAAAAAATTAGAAAAAATTAAAATTGAGAAATTAAATAATTAAATTGGAAATAAAAACTTTTAAAATATCTTGAAAATAAGAAAAATGGAAAAAATACCGAAAGAAAAAAAATTAAAAAATTATATTAGAAACAAAAAATATTTAAATATTTTAAGAATAATAAAATTTAAAAAATATCAAAGAATTGGAATTAAAATATTTCATTGGAAATAAAATAAAGTATCAGAATATTTTGACATATTTTAATTTTTAGATAATAATTGAAATGATATAAATATTTAAAAAGAAAAATATATAATGATATTATAGAAAATATCATTAAAATATCTTATAAAATCGAAATATATAAGTAATAAAAAAGAAAACAAAAATATAAAAATACAAAAGTGTATGAAAATTTTTAAAAATAATTTAATTAATTTATGTAATATAATTGGTCCATCACAGAAAGCAATGGTGCCTCTCATGTCTTTGAAAGTGAAAAGCAATTTCGGCCTCCACCTTAACTTTTTATTACTTCTTATTTCTGTTCCACTTATTCACTACTGTGAATGATTTATGCTCTTTAAATATATTATTATGAAAGTAATTATTTTAAATGCATGGATTTTTTTTTTAGAAAAAACTTATTAGTACAATTATTGCGACATTTTTAGAATGTAAAATAAAAGAAAAAAATATTATGCTATTCCATCTAGGATCTGTAATTTCTTATACTTTAACAAAAATATAATTTTTCAACTATTTTACTGTAACTGATAAAATTAAATTATCAAATTTATTACACGTCAATTATATATATTTATTTTAATTCTCTAATAAAATAACAAAGTTATAAAATAAATAATTAAAGATAAGATCGATTGAAAACGAGAAATATGACGTTTCGTTATATTTGACGATCTGAAACCGGCGTCAAAATAAACGATATAATCTGCAAATAACTTCGCTTTCATGAGGATTACGTAATAGTCATCCTTATGCCCTACTTGCAGTACATTACGAAAGACCACCAGTAGTTTATATAATAAATAGCGAAAAAGTATATATTATATATTCTAAGATCATGTAACTTCTTATTTGAAACAAATAGACAGAAATTTTCAAACATCGAATATCTTCATTGATTTTAAATAATATTTAAAAGATTGATAATTATCAATCATATAAAAAATATTTTATAAAAAATTATTTATTTTTCATAACAAAATTAAATTATACAAAAAAAAAAGATTATATATTTAGTATAAAAATTTTATATAAACGAAGAGCACTGCTTATATTAAGTCGTTTCAGAGGCCACTATCGCTAACGATTACACAAGCTTATCTACTCTTTCCGCAGACTAACACGTTCTACTGTGTAAACTTAATGAATAGTCACCATAAAGATCATAAAATTATTCCTGTTCATGCATATTCCACCCTTATACGAGTAACATCTGTTTAGAAAAAATATGCTTTTAATATAATTATTTTCATTAAATAAATTATTGTAGTATATATGTAAGTAAAAAAATATCTAACATATATTTATAATTTTTATACCACAATGAAATAATATGAAAATATACTTGAAAAGATCTTCTGAATTATAAAGTATGAAAATATGTAAACAATATTATTTAATTTATTAAAAAAATATTAGATATATTTATTAATAAATTTAATAGAAAAAAATTGCCAAAATTGAAAATTATCATATTTGTAATTTATAAATAAACATGTCAAAAATTTAGAAAAAAATTGCATTGGATATTGTATTAAATTTTTATTTATAAAATGTAAGTATCTATTTGGAATCGTCCATGTATATAAAATAGACACGTCCTTGTCACTTTACCGTATGTGAGATTAAAAGCGGATAAATTTAAAAAGACGAAAAACATTATAACCAATCAAATGTAAATGTGTGGACATATGACAAATATTTTAGTGATAAATCGATAATTCTTTCAAATATGAGAACTAATCGAGCGAAAGATTTCTTTTTAATAATATATGAAACATAGAAGGAGTTTTATAGATTGCATATTCTTTTCGTTATTACGTTCCTTGCGAAAATAATTCGACTCCCAGCCAACAACATGCTCACAATATTATTTCTGACGAAGCGTATTGTAATTTGGGGAGCACGATATACAGAATGAAAAAAAAAGGTCTCGGCCGACTATACTTAAGAGCGGGAATGACATCTGCTCGCACAGCTTCCGAGAGCCTGCGCAACTATTTCCAAATAAATTAGTCGAGAAATCGAGCAGCTCGCTATTTCTGTATTGTTACAGCTTCGTTTCGAATTTCAATCATTAATTTGCTAATATTTTTTTTTTAATTACATTCATTATATTCATTCGATAATCGAATAATTGGAAATCAAAAATGAATTTATGAATTAGAAATTATATAAAAAATAAATTCAATAAAATGTTTTATCGGTATGATTACATTTTGAGCTAATATTTGAAGAAGAAAATTTAGATTAGTTATTAGTTCAATCGCTAATTAGTTATTAATTCAATGGCCAACATTCTATTGGAATAAATGATACGTGTTTAAATGAATCATTAAGTGCAAAATAAAAATTACTACCATTTCGATATTCGATATTATATATTTCATAAAAGATGACATTTGTTCATAAAGGGTGCGACATTATTGATTTTATAAATCGATCTTTCCATTCGAAAAAATATATATATTTTTTAATGAAATTCGATAGCTAATTAAAAACGCAAACAAAGGGAGAAGAACAGAATAGATTTGCATCAAACATTGAGAATTTCGAGTGCATCCCCTTGAACAGCGCGGAAACGAAATCGATAACCTATACAAGAAGGACACTGCCTCTTTCTTACCTTAAGCATATAAATGTTAGATCTTCAAAAAGAAGAGAGGAGTTAATACTCCAGTTGAAGCTTCTTTGTCGATTTTAATGCGTAGCACATTTATTTACGAATTGACGATTAGCCGGTTACGTTGAGGCGTGCCGGTTGATTTTTCGTTCTAATTTTTACGTTTAAACGTTTCTTTGAACAAACTGAAGAATCGTTGAAAAGAGAATGTAGCGTATATATTCGTTTTTCGTTCGTTAGAAATCGGTGTACATTTCACGAAATAACTTCGTGAAACGACTTACAACTTCTGTCCGCACATACTGAACTATACTATCGCACCACTTTGAGAGTACCTCCGCGAATCGACTGCCAACTATATTCACACGGGCCACCGTCACTTTGCCTGTATAACAGGAACGTTCAACACAACAGCAACAGCCAGCGACAACTAGCGACAACCAGCAACGACCCCTACGTGCACCCTCTATCGACTGGTAACTACGCTGCTAGGATTCATCGGAACAGTGGAATATACAAATAGGTGGTTGAAAATTTGAAATATTCGCGCGTTTTATCTTAAACAGCGGAACGTATGGAAATGTCAAATTCAAATTAACATAAGCAAATTAAAATTATTTATATAAATAATTATAAAAATTAGTGTATTTGAAAAATTTTCTTTAATTTTTATATTTATTTATTAATTTAAATATTTAATTTAAAAACATATCTTATTATACATCTAATTTATAAATTTTATCCCAATTCTTTCATGACAGGAGTTAATGTCATTAAAGCGTTTTGCATGTTTTTTCGTTCTCTTTCAGTTTTAAGAGTATTCCATACTCGTTCTAATTCTTGTTGTTGATATTTCTGAAATATTTAATTTCAAATGTTTGTTAATGTTGCTATGCATATAATCTAAAAAAATTTACTTACTTTGATAAAAAGAAAACAATGTTTTAATGTTGCACCCACATAAAGTATTTCTATTGATACC